GCTCAACCTGTCTTTATCTTTGTGTAGCACTCTAACTGAAACATTATTCATATAAAATTTCATTACAGTATAAAGTATACTTATATATATAACATAATAACCTTCTAAAAGCAATATCTTTTAAAAACATTCCATCAATTGAACATTACCTCCCTATCTAAGAAAATTGATGACAATCGCAAGCTAAACTATGAAATACCAAATTAAATACAGAATAATCACAACCCCAAACCAAACAAAACCCCAAATCAATTAAAAAAAAACAATCAGAGTTGGAAAATCCTTTATGCAAAAACGTGAAAAAGAACAAATCAAAGATGCACTTACACCACAATTCATGATCATTATCCAAAATTTGCAAAGCAAACATACAATCAAACAGATACCTCTCTATTTTTCATCTCTCTCTCCCTGTTATTTGTATTGTGATAAAGTTTATGATAAACAATGATTTTACCAAAATTTAATAATAAAAAACATCACAGTAGAAGTTTAACATGAGAGAAAGAGTCAATCTCTACCTTTGATGTGTTGATCCTACCATCCCCTTGCATGTTTGATCTTTACATAAAAATAGAGTTTGGTTGGTGAGAAAATGCAGAGAAAACGAACAAAATTTAATGTAATTCATAATTTACCAGTATTAATAGAACCAATAACTTAATAACAGTTTTACATCATTAATTAGTAGAAAACAATACATAAATACAATCCAACAAAATAAACATATTGCATTCATTGCTGAAGCAGGGAGCCAACCTCCATGCTGCTGTTGTGCAAAATCCAGCAGAGGAATCACTGCAGACTGTTTGTAGTTGGATGGATAATGGGATAGTATCTCTTTCACCTAAAACTGAAAAAAATGACACCTTTTAGAACTCAAAAAACATAAAAATAATCTTGCAAGTGGCAAATAATGGATATAATCAATGCTCGTGGTTTGATAGCTCAATTCAAGAACTTATATAACATCATCATCATATGAATCAGTAGGATCACTTTCTAAAATGCAATAAATAACTTGGGGAAATTTAAACCTTATAGGACAATCCAATTCTAGTAACTCAACTTAGCAACGTGGTTGGAACGTTCAGCACCCCTTACACTCTAGTTATGTATAAATTCAAAACTGAGCATGTTTGAATTAAGGGTGCTAAGAAAATCCTAAACCTTTTATACACATCTTTGCTTAAATATCGGGGCTTGTAATGTTTGACATAAATAGTTCAGCCTAAAGCACACATTGACAACCAAATTACACAATCTTTCTCCTTTTTTCATCTGTTCACAGCCACACGTCTTTCCCCAAAGTTACTGCATTGCATTGCCATTGAATAATATGCTACAAACTAATTAGGTAAATGGGTCGCTGAAATTCACTACAAAAATGCTCCGCAGAATTATTAATTCCAACAAAATTGATGGAACCGAGTGGAAGTTTGTAAGACCCATTTGCAGGAAGGAAATGGGTGCTTTGTAGAAATTGAAAAGATGGAAAATCGATAGTTCATGATTTTGGTAGTCCAGATTAGATTAGCTTTAGACTCTACCAGTTTATTGCATGCCTGCCTTTTATCCATAATTCATGTCCTAATTTATCTGTTTAGGTTTTAGTTCTTGCCTTTGGGAAAACCCAAAATCTCTACCTGAAACGCCTATCTGCAACCACACTCCTTACACCCCCCGTCTCTTTCCCCAACCCCTGCTTCACCAAATGACACACCCAGAACTCTATCCCCACAGCCAAGGAGCAACCAAATTCAACTCCAATATAATAAAACTTAACAAAATACCCACTTTCACTCACTCCAATCCTCTAAGAACCCATAATTTTTTTCAATAAGAAAAAGTAAAAATTAAGCATTAACTTAAATCCTGATAAAATGAGTAAGTAATCAGCAACACCTGGTTCAAAATTTTACAAATTCACCAACAGTACACTTCAACACATCCCCAAGCAGCTCATAAATAGTGAAATTTGATTCGATTCAATTCAATTCAACTCGATTCGATTCAATTCAATTAGTTCAATTCAACAATTATAATCATTATTATTATATTGGAACTAAATTGATTGATAGGATACCTTTAAAATCATAAATCTGATAAGCAATCTCACAATTAACGCAGATTATGTTCATATCAAAATCCATATAGAGATACAAATTTGGAAACAGAGTGTAAATTCCATCAAACACGAAGATAGAGAGAGAGAGATAGAGAGTACCTGCTATTGCTTGGCAACCTGATCTCTTAGCTTCTTGATTGCCTCCATTGCAGCTCAGCTGTAGGTAGTCTCGATTTTTCAAAGTTGTGCTTCAAGCCTTAATCTAGACTCTAGAGGCTGAGTGGGTTTATCAAAAATAATAATTTAATAAGAAATTAACACTGAAAATAAATCAAGAACCCAAAAAAATAAATGAAAATTTCATACCTCTAAGTTTCTGGGTTTTACTGTGGAATCCAATTGAGAACCACTAAAAAAAGGGAAAACTGACCATAACACGTTAGACAATGCAAGCAAAAAAGGGATTTCAGTGGAATTGAAAAGGCAGAAATTAACAACCAAACCCATTTAATCATACAACCAAAACCCAATACCCATTTAATCATACACCAACGAAAAATCTAAACACAGAGTCACAAATTAACGAACTGAAAACCCACAAAAAGAACCAAAAAAAAAAAAAGGAAACTGACCTTAAAACAAAGAACAAAACACAAAACAGAGAGATGCATCCCCAACAGTAGAGAATCGAATTAAAAATTGAAGTTAGCTAAAAAACACTTACCCTTCAACGTTTGGAGCCTCAGAAAAATTTATGAAGTTCACGCAAATTTTTTTAGGTCTCAATGCACCTATCATGCAAACCAACGAAAATGAAAATGCATTAACACAAATGCCAAAACCGATTTCTAAGATTTTAGTATTCTCTTTACCCTTGCAACCAAAAAAAAAATCGCAGAAAAATGAGCAAGAAGCTTAAGCAAAAAAATCATATTTTCAACTACCAAAACCCAATACCCATTTAACATGAGATTTCAGTGTTCTCTTTACCCTTGCAACTCAAAACAAAAAATCCCAGGAAAATGAGCAAGAAGCATAAGCGGAAAAAAAAAACATATTTTCAACCACCATAACCTAATACCCATTTAATCATACACGAACGAAAATAAGAGAAAATAACATAAAATGAAATAAATAAAGGAACCCCAAAAACCTAACCCAACAGTGCAACAAATATGGAAATAATTCACAGTAAAAAGGTTGAAATGATGACAATCTATACTAACAGTAAAGAATCCAATAAGAAAATGAACTTATCTTTCAAAATCCAGCCACTCATCAGACACGCAAAAAGGAACAGACGATCTAGAGTGATTCATGGACTGAGGGGCCTTACTCGGCTCTGTTCACCATCCCAACCCCTCCCTCTCTGTTTCTTTCCCTATTATCTGGACAACAACTCTCTTTTTTTCTCTTTCTCTCGCGCGCTACTTGCTTAACTTCGGAGTTCCGACAGAACCGAAGCCAGTGAGCTCCCAAAAGCCCTCATGCTAGCTAGGGATGAGCATATACATATAAGGATCACTCCCGTGAGCGATGTGGGATCTTACAGCCTAGCCATCACGTGATCGTTCACCTCCCGCACCACACGCTTACCTTGGATCCAAGGCAGGTGCCAGCCTGTCGTACAGACTACATTAGGTGGTTCTAACTCGTAGGTGACTTGCGATACTTCGCACAACCTTCACGTGATCGTAGCACTCGAGCGTATCTATTTACACCCAGCCTGTCGTACAGACCACATTAGTTGGTTCTGACTCGTGTGCATGAATTGGTTATGAGCTATAGGTTCAGCCGTATATGTCACATTAGGTGACTCCGACTGACATTTCATATTATATTGATTCACATCACCTGGCTTCCATATTTATTACTGAAATAATTGACATGGCACTCACTTTGGTTTTCATTACTCTCAAGCCTGATTTCTATATATTTATGTATTATTATTTTCTGGAAAATTATACGGATTTTATGGTGAGGGGTTATTATTTTGGAAAAGAGAAATGGTTTCAAAAAGCTTTGTTTTGCCCACTCACGTTTTCTGTTTTTCGCCCCTCTAGGTTTTAGCTGCTGAAGTTCGTATCGACGAGGATTATTGTCTAATCTCAGTATAGGTGGCTACCTCTGAGGGTATGATCATTACCCACACTACTGTACGTTACTTATACTTTGACGTCGCGTGTGAAATGAATCCATTCCCGCTTACATCGCACTCTTGTCTTTAGCTACTCTTAGGTTTAAATTTATTCACATTTTCCACATCACTACATTTTATGGCTTCGTCACCTTCCAGGTGTCGGCCAGCACAGCTCGATTCGGAGTCTTAGTGGACATACCAGGTCGGGGTGTGTCACCTACACTATAAAATTTAATTTACCTATTGTTTAATTTTTATAAAATAATGTATCTACTATACAAAATAATGTACCTACAATATAATTTGCCTAATGATTAATTTTTATTAATATGGGTAAATTAATATATATATATATATATATATATTTGTGTTAATAGTATTTATGATACAAGAAAGGTATATTTTCATATGGGTTTAATTGGTGATCATAATTAGGGTGAGTAATTATATTCATTGACAAGATTAGAGCTTTGTGACATAAGTTGTAAATATGTTGGAATAATTGGCTACATATTTGTCTACATGGTAGTCTATTCGAAATTTAGGTGTTATTTGAATATTTAATATTAGATAGGATTTTGTTTGGAAAATAAAAGTTTCAAAAGCCTATCTCTAAAAAACCCTAGAAATTATTATATTACTTTAGTCTAAAGTAGGAGGGAAATTGGCACTATTCATGTGAATAGTGTTTTGGACCACATTTCAGTTTATTTACAATATTGCCACTCGAATGCTTTTACCCACTCTCTTTATTTACAAAAAATAGCCCTCAGGCTTCAGGCCCGATTTGTAGCCTTTGGGCTGCATCTCAGGTTTGACTCGGGGAGAAAGAGGGGATGGGGACATAAGGGCTGACAAATTGGAGAGAGGAGACAGCTGGGTGTGGCTGTGGCTGTGGCGAAAGGAGAGGAGGGGCACGGAGGGACTGACAGATTGGAGAGAGATGCGAGCTACGGGTGATCTTGATGCCGCGTGTTGATAATCGTGGCAAGGTAGGGGTGCGATGGTCGCTTTAGTCTGTAGGGTTTCGAACGGATTGGGTGGGTTAGGGAGACTTTCATTTTCCTTTCTTTTCTTTCTGTGAGCTGCAGAGGGACTCGGTGAGACCATGCCGTCAGGAGAGAGAGCAGGAGGGAGAGAGAGGGATTTGGTGACAGCCTCAGCTGATTGAAAGGGTGATGAGTCGTTTTCAAATCTTTTGTGCTTTAGGATTAGGATTACAAACTCTATTCATATCATGCAGCTTCAGATTCGAAATTGTGATTTTGGTCAGCAAACCCAGCTCAAGTCCTCTACAAATCAAACCTCACAAAGTAAAGCACTCCGATTCCCATTCATATCATGCTTCTGATGGATCTGGTTGTGGTCCCTGTGTATTTGCGCATCCATATAACTCTGATTTGTCCAACATGCTCATGGATTTTTCTGTATGATTTTGCAGGGCAAATTACTATATTGCCTATTTTCCTTTCAAATCCAACGGGTCGATGCAGGCTAGAGCTGGTATAGATTACAAATATTAGTTTTGCATAGCACTGTAATTTTGATTGGTGAGATCGGCCTAATTTAAAAAAGAAAAAAAAAGAACAGCCATCTTTCATCTTTCAATTCAATAGTAAAGGCCCTCATTCAAATATGAGTTTTGCATAGCACTATAAACATTATATGTAGTTACAGAATTGCTGTTTTGATTGGTAGCTCTATTGATTTTTGTTAAGTTGATTTGAATTTATACTGAATTTACTTAATTTTTAGTACAATTATTTGCTTTCTGGTTTTTAATTTAAAGACTAGGAGTTTGAATGGTGTAGTGGAGGTTGAAGTTGTTTCCCACATTTTTGTTATGAATTCTCAATGTTTGATGAATTCGGGAAATCAATTTTGTTATCTCTTATGCAGTTATGATCGTATGAGTTGGAATTTAGATTTTCAAACACATGTAAACTGAAAAAATAAAATAGATTTCGGAATTCGAAGTTAGCCGACCGCACATGATGGGAAAAGGCTTAAGAAGAAGAAGAAGTTAGCTCTAAACTATAGAAGCATGGAAGTTTGTGTGGACCTTAGATTGTTTTGAAAAATAATTGATTGATTCAAGAAAGCAAAGACCTTGGAACCTTAACTGTCTCATTGTAATCCTTCACCAAGTTCTGGTAAATTATGTTCTATTTATTCCGTCATCTGAAACTGAATTGCATTTGGGTGTTTGTCTTTGATGCTATTTTTTGGATGTAGGTAACTAGATTCTTATTCTCTGGGAATTGTATTCGTTTGTTCAATCTCAATATTTTACCAATATTCTCACGATGTCCTTTGTTTTTAATCTATAATTTATTTTGTCCAATTCATGAAATTTCCTTCCTTTTTTTTGACGATTTAAATAAATAGGAGCAATTTAATTATCCGGTTTGGAGGGTTTTGATCTAATTGCAGTATTTATCTGTTATCTGTAGGTTTGTGAAGGTCTGTGAATAACAGTTGAAGAAAAAGTTGCAGTTTCGGAAATGACTGTCAGCAGTCAAGATGTGAAAAAGAAGGTTCCTTTTTCTTATTTTTGTTTCCAAGTTCTTCTTTTCTATTTTGTGGATAAAAAAAAGATCTTTCGGCAAACAGAATGGTGTTTTTTTTTATCAGATTTTGTTAATTAATTGGATTTTGTGTTTACCCTTTCGTTTCAGTCTTTTATTCATAAAATCTTCACCACAAAGGAGAAAGAAGGAAGCAGCTCTTCGGATTGCTCAGGTGAGTCTCTAATGGCTGACTGCAACTGAATATCCTTCTTCCTTTCTTCTTTATTTGAAACAGTGATAACGCAGTCAACTATGAGTAGATGTATAGCGGCCTGCTTCAGTGCTCACTTGGTAAAGTTTTTTTGTCACATAAAGGTGCTGGAGTTGGGGACTTTTTGGATCTTAAATCATTGGTTGCCTAACATTCTCTATATCGAAAGGCATCATTTTTGTTAGAACATTTTATATATTTTAGACAATGAATTTGAGTGCTGTGGACTATGTGTCAGTGAACAGGGAGTTACTAATTTTGTTATATGAGATTTGGTTAAATGTCTAATACACATAGTTGCTGAGGTTTGTTTACATTGGTGGTAAATTCTTGCTTTCTTCTCAATTTTGTTTTATTGTAATTCATCTTGGTTTATGGATCTTGCATTGCTTACGTGAAATGGTTATATTTCAATGTTTGTGAGATGTCGAATTGTGTGTTTGTGGCTTAGTGAGAGTTAGATTTAGATTGTGTAGAAAATGTGGGCTTCGGAGTGTAACCCAATTAGCAATTTGAAGTGATTTGAGGAGAAGTATTCTGAGCTGCAGTAGGACTCGATGAGACCATGCCGTCAGGAGAGAGAGCGAGCGAGCAGAGAGAGAAGAGGGAGGGAGGGAGAGAGATAGGGATTTGGTGAGAGGAAGAGAAAGGAGGGCTGTGACTTTTGACTCGGGGAGAGATGACTGTGCCTCTTGCTTCGGTAAGAGCATCGTTGGGGGAGGAGAGGGACTGACAGATTGGAGAGAGATGGGAGCTAGGGGTTTCGACTCAGTGAGATTGTGAGGGAGAGGGGGTTGGCAGAGACAGATGAGAGGGAGTTGGGCGTGGGAATTGCAGAGAGAGAAAGAGAACTCAGAAGATATTTGTTTTGTTGAGAGCTGACAAGAAAAGGGGAGAAACAATGACAAAGTGACAGAATCTGAGAATCTGAAGTATGATTAATGGGGTTTTTGTTAGGAATGTCGGTACTACATGATAGAGAATGCTCAAGGTAAAGTAGAAAATGGACACCAAGAATTTATGTGGTTCGGCAATTTATGCCTACGTCCACGAAACAAGGATCAATCTTCACTATATGAAAAAGATGAATACAACAAGAGTAGTCTTACCAAGCCAAAGACAAGACTTGATGGATACAAGAAAGTATAACACACACTTTCTATCACTCTAAACTTCACTCACACAATATGTAGTGGAACACTCACTCTCACTCTCACTCTTGGAATGGAACTAAACTTCACTCACACAATGTGTAGTGGAACACTCTCACTCTCACTCTTGGAGTGGAACTCTAGCTTTGGACTTGATCCTTTGCTACTCACTACTCTCTTGATTGGTTGGTTGATCCAAATGGTGTGGATGCCTTCTCCTTTTATAGGCATGAATGGAACCTTGAAGAAGCATGGAAACATCATGCTAGAGATATCTAGATAATTCCACTACCTTCCTAAGCTAGAATTATCTACACTAATCTTGTATGTTGGTGGAATCTTCACCATTCTTCTAGACTCTTCCACCAACTTGAACTTTGCTAGAATTCTCTAGCATGTGCATGGATCTTTCCATTTGCAACCAAGGAAGCTAGTACTCTCTAGCTTCTTCCATCAACTTGATAACATGCTAGAATTGTCTAGCATGCTCCGGCCACCTCACTTGCTTACTAGAATAATCTAGAACATTCATCATGGGCTGGACCATATACCAACAGTTTTAGCTTCTGGCACTTTCTTCCCTGCTTTCTAAACCCATTTTTCTCAGCACCCCTTCAAGCTCTGGAAGTGTTTGCACAAATTGGAGCTCAAAAGCGTCAGATTTTATGGAACAAATGGTCTCAGAGAAGCAGATTACACTGCGCAGTAGCAGCACAGGACCCGGTGGGCCTGGGTTTGGTATTGTTCATACCTCTGTTTCTTCAATTTTTTTAATTTCTTTTATATGCAATTTCTGTGCTTGCTGTTGAAATGAATATGGTGGTGGAAACTGTTGTTTTATATGAATTGGGTTTTTCACTATATTAATAAAGATCAAATCTTTGTGGTTCTTTGTTGTTTATCTCAACCTTGCTTCGCCTGCAGCCGCTTGAAGATGACGTGGTCCTGATAGTCGGTCACTTCCGCGACAGTTCCGAACAAAGGATTCGGTTCCCAAGCTCCAACGATTGTGTCTGTGGCAAAGAGAATTCAGGAAGAGTGGAAGATCCAAGAAGGATTTGCCAGGCGAGTTCTTTTGTTTTTTATTTTGAATTTCCTTTTAAATAACTGTTTTGAATTAATGGTAGTGAAGTTTTCCCATACTTAGCCTATTCATTTTTATCAAATATTTTGCATTATCAAATATTTGCACCGACTATTTCATGATGCTGACTACACAACAACAACAACAACAAAGCCTTTTCCCACTAAGTGGGGTCGGCTATATGAATCCTAGAACGCCATTGTGCTCGGTTTTGTGTCATGTCCTCTGTTAGATCCAAAATCAAGTCTTTTCTTAGGGTCTCTTCCAAAGTTTTCCTAGGTCTACCTCTACCCCTTCGGCCCTGAACCTCTGTCCCGTAGTCACATTTTCGAACCGGAGCGTCAGTAGGCCTTCTTTGCACATGTCCAAACCTCGGATATCCTCATTCCCAATCTTATCCTTTCTCGTGTGCCCATACATCCCACGAAGCATCCTCATCTCCGCTACACTCATTTTGTGTACGTGTTGATGCTTCACCGCCCAACATTCTGTGCCATACAACATCGCTGGCCTTATTGCCGTCCTATAAAATTTTCCCTTGAGCTTCAGTGGCATTTCATGATGCTGACTGATGTAATTAATTTGGTTTTGTACTGAAAGTTGGAGTTGAGAATATATGGAATATAGTTGTTGGATTGGTGTTTGTACTATAGAAACTTAGGTGTGCTTACCCCCTTTTCATGGACATCCATGGTTACAATATTTGTTAGAGCTTATGAGACGCTGTTCAAGTCGGACCACTGGTGAATGCCACAACTTTTGTGCTTAAATGGATTCATCAAATCAATTTTGTCGTTAATTTTTGTTTTGAGTCCATTTTCCCTGCTGCTATTCTATTAGTATTTTAAGCTCAGTCGTTTAGGCATGACACATTTTCAGTGGGAAGTCATAAGCATAATTCAAATTTTTTTTAAATTAGACTCAAGATTTTTATGTGCATTATTCTTCCGTTTTACGAATTTAATTGGCTGCCTTAATGATGTTGTTGATGAATCTTCACAAAAGTCCATTTCTCTTTTAATCATTGACTTTTTTTTTTTTTCTTCGTTGGCAGTCGAGGCAAAAGGTTCTTGCGATTTCAATCAAATGCAAACTGTGCAAGTATATATGTTGTATGCACATATGCATATAAATCAATATAATATATATACATGATTTCATGTGTTAAAGATTGTACTTGTTCTTAAATAAAGGATCTGCTGACAAATGTGTTTAACAATATGATCTTACAACTCATCTTTAAACTTTGTATAACTGAAATATTATTCATCAACTGTAACTTCCCCTGTTGCTATATGCTAATGACAGGCTATGAAGATTGTACTTATTCTGTTCGTAGATGCAAGGCTAGAAATTAAGTTTGTATGGGGTTAAATCAATTGATGAAAATTGTAAGATTTGGCGGTTTGGTAAATTGATTATAGTAATGTTGTTTGTGGTTTGGGTTCTCCTTTTGTTTTAGATAGATGGTGCTTGATTGTGGTTTAAGTTTTTTTTTTATTATTATTCCCTGCACATTGCAAAATTCTGGTACTATTTGAGGATTTTGGTGTTGAAAGTCTAGGGTTTAGTGGAATGAAAAGAAGGGATGTCTGCGTTTCGGAAATGTGTTTTTAAGGAACCTTTAACTCCTAACTGCCATTTGGCATTCAATATATACTCTAATGCTTGCTGGGGTTTACCCCTTTGAGCATTTTATTACGTTTCTTCTTGCTCTCTGATTGAAAATTTTAAATGCTATAGGTGAATGCAAACGCTGCAAAATGGACGAAAGCCAGCATTTCGACTAGCTGCTGCAATACACAGGTGTGTTGAAAACTTTCCCAAATCCTCTGTGCTTACACAATTATACATGTGTGTATGTACAGCTTTATACATGCATCTGTGGAAATACATATGTTAGAGCCTGGTTTTTGTTTTAGATTTATATGCTGGTTGTTAGGTTCTAGCTATGTGAAGTTTATGTCTTTAATTTTAATTTTTTATGAAAGCAGCTCATGTTTGCTTACCCGGCGGTGGTTATTCTGATTTAGTGGTTAAAAATGGAAATTTCACTCGCAGTAAGGGATTAATTGAGGTTCATGCATACATCCGTGGTGTAAATTTGAGAGATGGAATAATATATGTGTGTAAAGTCCCTTCTTTTGGTTTTTTATTGCACTGTTTAGGTGGTGAATTGCACGGAAAGTGGGGGAAGAGAGGGGTACAATTTATTTAATTTGAGCAAAACAAAGGCATTTAAGCTTAAGTTGGTTAGTGATGATTAGAGTCAATAAGTCGCCATCTGTCTTTAACTGAAATCTGAATTCATTGAATGATGAATGAGGTTGTAGTGTGAGAGAAATTGAGAAAGTAAAGAAAAGATGGAAGATGAAGCTACAAATACATGACAAACAATAATGATAGATCAATTCATCTATGTTGGTTTATTAAACTTGGTCAAGCAAGCCTTTTGTTTTAATTGGGATATAGTTTGGTACTTTCATACTAATTTCCATAGTTTATAACAGTTAACCAACCAAAGGTGCTTTCTTTTCATTATTTTCCAATATATTTTAGCCAGTTGACAATCTTAAAAGATTTACTTAGACGCACAACAAATCTGTGTATTATACACATACCTGAGATATAATGCTATATATCTTTTTATAGTTGTCTCATATTATATAAAAAAAATTTAAGTGCATGAATTTGAAACTTTTTATTATTTCTAGAAAGAGAGACAATGCAATTGTGTTTTATTGTTAGAGAAAAAGATGTGTCAGCTTGGGTTTGACTGATTAATGGGATTTCACTCGATTAGACCAAATTGATTTGATGTTTTTCTATTTGAAGTTGAGGAGTCAGATTGGTGGGAAGCAATTCAGAGGCACGTCATCTTCTAACTGGGTCATTGTCTTCTTTCTTCACTTATGAGTTTTTCGGGTCGAAGGAGTCATCTGCTTCTTCTGGGATTTTTGGGTCCCTATTTGCGCCTTCTTCCAGCATCGTTTATTGGTAAGTTGTAAAACCTTTGTAGACCTCATGTTCATTTCAGATTTTTGTATCAATCTTGGTATTATAATGGAATTGCAAATCAAGTATATCTTAGATTCTTACTTGCATACTCACTTTTCCACAACTATTATATTGTCTCTTGATTGGATGAATTTTCATAATTTCCTGGATCTACGGTTACAATGCTTTTTACAATTTCCTAGATCTATCCTTTTTGTCTGTGCATGACTATGTTGATTTTTTTTAAGGTTAAATGTGTCTTATTCAAGTCCCGCAGCAACGCGCGGACATTTTTTCTGGTATTAGCTAATGCAGATTGGATGAAACTTTGGAAGTTGACTATATATTAGTATGCGTTCAAATTCTGGATATCAAAATATAATTGTCTCCAGTAATACTAAATTTCGTTATCGTTATGGTGTATAGATCAAGTGGATTAATTAGCTACGTGGGGTGCTTCAGAGTGTAAGGCATGTGGATAACTTTTCAGTGGTCGAATAGTGTTCTTCAAAATGTTTTGATTAATTTTCTTGATTTTCTTGAAGTTCAGTTGCTAACTAGTATTTCTTTTTTTAAGGGATGATAGTGTTCTCATTCCCTTAATCTTATTAAAATAAAAACAGAAATACAAACAAGGGTGTGGTTGCAAATTTCTGCCTTCTTCTTGGATGAAAATGCATCTGCAAAACAATTAACACCTTAGGTTAAGGCCAAGAGGGTCACGCGCCCATGATGAATGGGGGGCCTTTGGTCGAAGAACTTCCGATGCTAAAGTTAGAATTTGAGGAAGAAAGTATATGGAGAAATTTAGAGAATTTCATAAGAGAATTAGATTTAGGTTGTTTGAGAAAATGAGGGGCTATATATAGGGGTGTGGCCGGCCCTATTAGGAAATTTGGGACCGGACACATATGGTTGATGTGTGGGATTGATTGCAAGATATTATGTGAAATAATATATTGCAATTAATTTGGTAATTAATCAATTAATCCCAATTTGAAAAGAATAATTGGAAGTTACCTTGTGGGTGAGGATTTGATGAGGAGTGATGAGAGTTTTAAAAGAATACCATTTTGATCAACTTTGACCTCGAATGAGTTGTGATTGTCTGTTACATGTGTGGGAATCTTGATGTGCTTTAAGGGTAATTTTGTCTTTTTAACTCAAAAGTCCATGTGTCGTCTTCATATTTTTCTTGATTATTTTTTGTTCCACAAAGGGCAATACAAAGCCAAACCTTCTTGAGGAAAAAAAAGGTAAAACCAAAAATCAACCCCACATACAAAGAAAACATATAATGAAAATCATTTGAAACGATGGTTGGTAGAAGCAGAAAGATCACGAATATAAGCAGAAATTTCACATGAAAGAACGTTCACCATCAATATTATGCATCATAATTTGCATGAAAGTTACCTAAGGCATCAGCCACACATGCAATTGCTAGCTAGTACAGTAGTAGCTATATTACTCAAACTTTTATTTTATGTTTTTATTAATTATTAGGTGTACCAACAGTTATATGAATTTGGAACATTTGTCAACATTAAGACAGAGTATTTGGAGCTAATGAAGAATTTGGTGCAAAACCAAGTGCAGTAGTGTTCTAGGATTTATACAGTTAATAAGACTTTGTCGTTTGTTTGTTGTAAGAAAAAGAGTTTTATTAAATCAAGTGCTTGTTTAATAGCAAAAATATTAGAGACTACTGAAAAAAAACAAAAAGAGTATATACACTTGGCAGTCATATTCTTGTCGAGTTAATGTGCGATATTAATTTATAAGTACAACATCGGTTGTAAACTAATTTCATCATAATGGAAAACCTAACCTATTCAGTTCACTCTCTCTTCAGATCCGACTTTTCTTATAAATAATAAATAAAAAGGAAAACTGATGAAAATGACTTCAAAATTTTGAGGTTTAACGATAAGGACAAAATAAAGGGTAAAATGAACAGTACAATGATTGATTTTTTAATGTAAAATTGTGGTTTTTCGTTAAAATGAACAGTACCGGGAGTTTTCCGCTAAAAAGAAAAGAAGAAGAAAGGTACGATCTCATGAAATTGGTACAGGGTAGGCATGCATGGACTTGTAATACAAGTCAAGAAAAATATTAAAGGGGATCCTATCTTCTATAAGTAGCATGGTTATCGATAAGTAGTTCTACCTTCGCTGTTTCATTGGGTTTCCATCCCAAAAACTTAAAACTTCTATATTTCACACAATATTCTCTCCAAAATGCCGCCGGTAAGCCTTTTCATATATATATATATATGTTCTACTACTCTTGCATCTTGTTGCAGTTGTATACATTTTTTCTTTTAATCCAACTGAAACTAAAGGCGAGAAGGTTTTCTTAAATTAGCTGACATTAATTAAATGTATAAATTGATCATATTGTTTATACATCTTTTGTACAAATTGATGGTGCAGCAGATGAAGATCGTTGTGAAGGTGCCAATGCACTGTGACAAATGCAGAAGAAAGGCCATGAAGATTGCAGCTCGTGCACAGGGTATGTGCCTTTTGATATTGTCATGATTCAAATTTTCTTTCAACGATTTCATTGTTAATTATAGTTGGCATGGTTATTAAAGAGTATCATAATTAATGAAAGCAGGTGCTAGTAAAGTGTCGATAGAAGGAGCAAACAAAGATCTTGTGGAGGTGATCGGGGATGATGTAGACTCGGTTTGCTTGACAAGGTCATTGAGGAAAAAGTTCGGCTGTTCCTGCGACCTAGTCAAAGTTGAAGAAGTGAAGCCGGCAGTTAAAACTGTGGAAAAGCCAACTCCAGCTCCTTCAGCTCCTTCAGCTCCTTCAGCAAGCTGTGCTCAAAACTGTTGCACTCCCCAGTTTCGTCCAATGTACTGTGAACTGGTTTGTGAATATCCAGAACCAACCACTTGCTCCATAATGTAATTGCGTAAGACATGAATTAGTTGAACTTGATTATGATCATTTTCATTTTCTCTTTTCCCTTGTAGATGCATGGATCTAAAGTTCATAAGAAATATTTTTATATCAATTGCTTCTCTCTTTGAAATTTTGTTTGTGTTTCTGCTTGTGCCTTTTTCATGTGTTTCCTAACCCATATGGAATTGCTCAGGTGCTACGAAACACTTCTGATCATAAGTGCTTTTATCAGAAACACTTTTATCACAAACATAACAAGTTTGCAATCCAAAGAGACCATCATTTATATGAGTTGCCTTTAATTATGTACTTGTACTGATCCATACTAATTTTCGACCAAGAAATGGGTGAAAGTAGGATTATATAGCAGCATGTGTGGATGCATGGTTAATCAGGGTGTCAACACACTTAAACTATCTCTATTTCTTGATTTCTCTGCAAAATGGGTCCTGTCCACCTAAGCTTTCTCCGCGTGTGGCTGGCTGTTAACCACAAGGTCGAAGTTTCAACCAATCTTCTAGGGGTGCGTTTCTTTTATTTTTCCATAAAAAATGAGTTATTCCATTGATGAAGCATCAAAAATACAATCTAGTCTGTTGTGGGTGTTGTCTAACTTTACGAGTGATATGGACTCGCTTGTTGCGGTGACTTTTGTGGGCTTGAGTATAGATCAGTGGTGGCTGAGCAGGCCATCCACTTTATTTAATGAATACGCAAGATTCTTTTTAAATTAAGAAATTGATCATTGGAGATGATGCACCCATATTATTGTTTTGTTTCATCATCAAACTAGGAAAAGAAAAAGGATAGGGAAGATCACAGAATTGAACTTTTTACTTGCCACATCAAATAGTGAATCATTGTAGTCTAAAACTGTCTAAGTGGTCTAGTGGTTGGAGACGAATTTTAGACACATATTCTACACGGCATATGTCCTGGGTTCGATTCTTGGAGCTGGGTGAATCACAAGATGGTGGCCAGGGGAGACTAAAATGCTTATATAAGTCTTCTTGGCCCCCGAAAGAGTAGAATATTGTGACAAAGCCACCGGCTAGTCATCTTTTTAAAAAATGAAATAAAACTATCGTTTCTCTAACATTTTTCTATTATAAAATAATAAACTTTTTTTTTTGAACCGGGTAAAAGTTTAAACTTAATTTCAAATTCGACTTTCAATTTGCGTAACATTGTTCTCCCTCTACGTACTTTGAAGGGAATTTATCGAAAGATGACCAAATTAATCTACACCATGTACTACTCTTGTAGCAATAGTTCAATCATGGCCATGTACTACTCCCCGGCAATTGTTCAATCATGCCCCCCCCCCCCCGGCGCGGAAATAGTTCAATCATGGCCATGCACTACTCTTGTGGTCTTCAATCATGGCCATGCACTAGTCTTGTGGTCTCCCCCCCTCCCTATGACCCCAACTCAATAACAAAATAGGGTGTAATTTCACCACAAGAGTAGAAATTATCCAGGGGATGATTTCGTTTTGCTTTGATTTTGGGACTGAAGGTTTCATTGCGAAAAAACCATTGGAGGCAACTTAATTTTTATGTACATTACACATACGAAAACTTTTTACTTGCCACATCAAATAGTAAATCATTGTAGTCTAAAACTGTCTAGGTGGTTCAGTGGTTGGAGACGAATTCTAGACACGTATTCTACACGGCATATGTCCTGGGTTCGATTCCTGGAGCTAGATGAATCACAAGATGGTGGCCAGGGGAGACTAAAATGCTTATGTAAGTCTTCTCAGCCCCTGAAAGAGTAGAATGTTGTGGCAAAGCCACCGGCTGGTCATCTTTTAAAAAAATGAAATAAAACTATCATTTATCTAACATTTTTCTATTATAAAATAATTAACTTTTTTTTGAACCGGGTAAAAGCTTAAACTTAATTTCAAATTCGACTTTCAATTTGCGTGACATTGTTCTCCCTCTACGTACTTTGAAAGGAATTCATCGAAAGATGGCCAAATTAATCTACACCATGTACTAGTTCAATTATAGCCATGTACTACTCTTGTGGCAATAGTTCAATCATGGCCATGTGCTACTCTTGTGGCCCCCCTCGGCCAATAGTTCAATCATGTCCCCCCCCTCCCAGGCAATTGAGGGTACAGGCGTACAGCTAGCACAATGGTGTCCCACCTCCCTCCCTTATATTTCCCACCCTCCATTTTTTTTATGTAATTATTTTAAATTGTTGATTAAATACTTTCTTTTTTTTGTCAAATACTTTGTTTTCAAAGATTAATTGATTTCTAAACATATATTTGGCACCTTTATTTTTCTTTAAATGCACTACAAATTCATATCATCTTTGAAAAATTTTCCTAAAGTACTACAGATTTGTATCATTTGAACTTGTATCTTATACCATCAAATTCATCAAAGTACTAACGATATAATTTGTGTATTCTTCTACTTCTATTTTTGCATTTTATCATTCTTTTATTATTCATACAATTATATTTTTTTTAGGTGTAAATAGACATTTATTTACAAGATATATAATAAATTTACATAAATCCGCTTGGGCCCCGCCTAGCCGCCTAGGCACTAGACCCCTACCCGCCGCCCGACTAGTGTCTAACGATTTTTAGAACCTTGTTCTTATCAAAATGATTTTTGAAATTAAAAATCCATCAATTTGATCCCTAAAAATGGACCGCAAATCAATTCAATCATTTTGTTACATTTTCATTAAATTCTCTGTTAATATGCTTATGTGGCAAATGAGTGAGTCACATGGATACAATCATATGGTGCCACGTGGATTAATCATAAAACCAATTTTTGTACCTTATAAGGTGGGGATCCTACTTTTAACTCTAAAGTTAATATGCGCAAGTCATGAGCACCCTGCTTTTTAATGTTATATAGAATTGTCTGTAACTATTGAGCCCAAAGCTAAACATGACTTTGCATTTGACTCCAAAGTACTGAACAACTCATATAAGCACTAAGTCTCGAATATCCCTAATCATGAGATGTATAATATTTGTCACAATAAATTGAGTGAGACCTATTTAAGATTAATATTTTGTTAGTGAATGCAAAGCCTGTTATAAATCTTAATTAAGTGATCTCTCTTTTTTTTCGGTAGATTAATATAAAATATCGTTTGTAATACTTTGTGTAATAATCAATAAAAAAAATGGCGTAATTTAAAGGCTTGCACATATATATGATGGACTTGGATTGTCTGCCTTCCCCCATCTCATCCCCTCCTATTTTTATGGTTACGGTTAAGCCACGTCAACATTTTATATTGATTTTTTTATATAGAATTAATAAGACAAAAAGCAATAGAAATATAAAATGTTGACGTGGCTTAACCGTGACCACATAAATAGGAGGGTATGGGATGGGGAGGGCAGACAATCCATGTCCCTTTTTATTGACCTCTAAAGTACTCAAGTACAAGAAACAAAAATACCCAACAAAAATATAGAGTTTCCGTAGGGAAAACAATCTAGCCTTCTGTACAATGGTGCAGCAAAAGATAGTTATGAAGGTGCACTTGAGCTCTGAAAAACTCAGAACCAAGGCCTTGAAGATTGCTGCAGTCGCTAAAGGTATGCAAAATATATGCACCGATCTTTAAACTTATGGCCATCCTCATCCACCATCTAAAGGGATCTTTTAGTCCATAAAATATCTAAAAGCCATCTCCAGCAAGCAGGTTATAAGTAGGTGCACTTGAGCTCTGAAAAAACATGTGTTGTTCTTGTTTCAGCAGCTAATCTTTCAAGCACTAATGTATGGATTAATGTATAATATTTGAGATCCTATTTGTTTTTTATTGACTGATGCTTCAACATCATCCACCTAATTCATATCACACATCCATAAATACCTGAGAACGCTTATTCCTACCACCATTACGTTGTCACTTTCGTATGTTTTTTCATTGAGAAGAAAATGAAAGAGCATCACGAAAAACACTAACAATTTCAACTCTAAAACGTCACCTTATTCCTATAACCCACCTCAATCAACAACAAAGGAAGAAAAATAATTGATCCCTTCAAAGATGCTTTCGTGAAAGCTAAAAGATGTCCTACCCATCCAAATGAAAACGGGATGTTATTTTCAGTCCCATGTGATATCGGCACAGTGGAGGGCAAAAAGAAGAAATAAATGTTAGAAAGACAGCTACATCACAACCCAAAGATTAATTAAAGAAAAAATATCCAAAATGTATGTCAGATATTTTGAAATTATAAATACAAATCCAAAAACAAAAAAATAACAAACAAGAAAAAGTCTTGAACAATTGGCTATATGGGATAAATTTAATATGTTACTATAATTCTCATCCTCTTATGAATATCATCAGCAAACTCATATTTTTCACTCTTACGTAGAATACCATAAACCTCCTTTAGCACGCCCTCAGGGTCCTCTATCTTTATGGGTCTCTTAGAATCAGAGTCTTCCAGCACAGCAAAGACCTAGGAAAGAAATTATAATTTGAACACTATCAAGTTAAGCACGTTTGCAATCATACAGGTCAGATTTCTTTTTTAAAATAATCATTTCAAAATGCCTTTCTTCAAGGAGAGACAATTACAAAGAGAGAAAGAATAATACCTGTTTTTTATTAAGACGGTAGCAAAATTCGTTATAGAGTCGTCCTCCAAGCTTTTCATCTTTTATATCAACAAACACTAAAACTGGGCAGCTTGGTACATCAACAGAAGGTTTACCATCCAAATCATGTTTGAGCAATTCATCATGTATATACATCTCCTTCAAGAGAGGGACCTACAATTTGATCCGCAGTATTCGTATTGCATGTAAAACTAATTTTGGGGAACCAAATCTTGGCAAATATAAGAATCACCCTATTTAGTTCACTTCTTCATAAGGGGTAATCTTATATAAAAGAACTTGAAACAAATTCAAGGTACAGCAGCATCAAATACTCAGCATTAGTCTACTCCACGAAATTCAATATTATATGTATATATACAAAACCCATCAACGAAAAAGAGGGGTTTAGAAGAATACTCAATCTCACGAATCTGCTCCTCAGCTTCACAGACGCGTAGATGCCTTCAAAATAGAGACCCAAATCCTAGACTCAGAGAGAGAGAGAGAGAGAGAGAGAAATATTTAGAAATTTTTAGACAACAACTCTCACAGAAAGACAACAATGTTTTGGGACGACGACCCTCACAAAAAGAGAACATCGTTTGACGGCGAGAGAGCACAAAGCAAAACGAAAACGAAAGTTAAAACAAAGGAAGATGCAGTCAAACGAAGCGGGAAGCAACAGAGCAAATTTCTGAGAGAACACGAACCCATCACTGATATTAAAATTATTTTTGGGTAAATTGGGTACGAGTGAGGGTACTGACCTTCTCCGGGCATCTCGTGTTTGAAATTGGAAGAGTTTAAGATGCGATTTTGGTGGAAAATGGGCAGCGCTCACTAGAAGAAAAAAAGCTCATCCATCACGGTGAATGCTCGTAATAAATTGTAATCCACCACGGGTACTGTGCCCGTTAGTAATCTGGATGTGATAAAAAGTCTTAGTTTCTACCACAGGTTATGCCCGTTGTCAAACATAATGTAACCACGGATTGTGCCCGTGATAGATTGGAATTTAACATCACGTGTTACGACCGTTGTGAATTATTTATTGACCACGGTTAATGACCGTTATAAAAAAATTTCCACAAATAAAAAAAATATCTATTTAATAAATATATATTTAAATATTTATATACTAAATAACCAACAAAATTTCATATTTATTACAATATAATAAATTACAGAATAACCAAAACCGAAAAGGAAATCAATATGATAATTAGGAAAATTTATACTATTTATTAACATAAGGTTCTTTGTCAACCAAAATTGCAGAAAATTGTGGTAAGAATCACTTCACTTCAATTCAAATAGATTATGATTAAGAATAAATATGTAAAACACAAAATAAAATAAATGAAATGTAAAAGGAGGGAAACCGCACGTCTCCCTTCTTCTCCCCCTTTTCTCTCTGCCTTTATCTCCAAATACATAACTGCTCCACGTTTTCCTCGTCACAATAATGTCTCTTTTCCTGAACTCACGTATTTTGCAACCCAAACTGCTTCCATACTTTATAATGTTTAATTCCTTTTCGAACTCTACTGAAGTAAGAATTAATCTGCAAGTTTCAGTTTGTAAGACATAAAAAGTCCACCCATTGATGCACTTAAGTGGCTAACATTTCATGTAAAATTTAGATAACCCTATATTTGTTATTTGGTATAACTTATGATATATTGGATCGATGCATGCATACCGCCATGGTGATCCTTGATTGCAGCACAAGGAAGACACATACCTAGCACAAAGGAGGAGGCAAGCATGCCGCCATGGCGACCTCTGATTGCAGGTCGGCTTCTCCAGTCAATAGAGCCTTCCCATTTAGTGATGAGATTCTGTTCTTGCCCCTACAGTAACCATTACCAAAACTCATGAGGTTTAGGAAAAACCAGGCATGAGAGGAAATAAAGTGTAAGGGATGAAAGAAAAAAAAAGGATAAAGAAAGAAAGAGGAAACCACCATTTTCTATCTTGTGAGCCTTTTTTTTTCCCATTTGGCGATTCAATTTAATTTGGATCGGATCCCTGGTGCCATAGGATTTTGATTAGAAATAAAAAGGAGCGACTGGAGATTTAAAGAGTTTGTGAAATTTTCAAATCTCAAAGATGTTTGAAATTTCCCAAAAATTCGGTGTCTCGCCTTTTCTAAATATTTTTCATTATGTGTATGATTATACCACACATTATGTCCGTGGTTGATAACAAAAATGCGCTGTAGAACTAACAATATTGACCACGAGCATTGTCCGTGGTGGCTTAGTATATTTACAACGTGCAACTTTGCGTGTGGTCATTCACCGTTATTTTACAACGGGCTAAGATTTGTCTGTGATGAAAAATTAATTTTTATAACGTGCGTATTATGCCCGTGGTAAAATTTTATTTTTACAACGAGCTCATAAAGTCCGTGGTAAAATTGTCGTGATAGATGTGTTGTTTTCTTGTAGTGGCTGCAGAGAGAACAAAGCAAGTCCATGTTTCTATGGTATCAAAATTGCAGAAATCAAACAATGTAGATGAGGATTTTGAAGATTCTGAATCTAAGAGAAGAGAAATTTACCTTTGGGGAAGAGTGGTGGCCGCTGCTGCTGAAACTGAAAAGATTTTGGCAAATAAGGCGAGAAGGAAGACAGTGGGAGTCGGCAACTCAGAATTTCAGCCAAACATAAAGAGAATATGAAGAAAGAAATAGTTTTGTAAGATGCTGAGAAGAAAAACAGGGAACAATAGGGTTTTACCTGAGGACTCGAGCTGGGCTCTAAGACGTAGACCTCCCTCTCCCTTCTTCTCCCTGACATTCCACACCCTCCCCCCTTCTCTGTCTGTAACTAATACAGCCCAAACAAAATGTAATGTTTACATGTATATCGCTATTTGTAACGTTTAAATAAATACACAATCAAACGTTTAAATAAATGGTTGCAAATGATCCGACTGTTAAAGAGTAAATTCATAAGAACTTACCATGCACTTGAGCATTTTTCAACATTCCATTAAGCACAGACAAAATGTAATCTACACGTAGATGAGACAAGACATGTTTAGGTGTTAAGCCAAATGCAAGAAGTCAGACAAGTGAAGAAATAAGAACCTTGACAGCTCATCATTTCTTATACTTTGGACTCAGCGTTGGAAATTTGTCTACCAGGCATAACATCTGAAACATTATTTATTCATATGAATGTGAGAATGATTACTTTCAATGGCATTCCATCTAGAAATGTAAAGGGGTAATTTAATTCATCTATACTTCACCGTGTTCATGACTTGCAAATTTTCTAAACAACACAATAAATAACAGAGATTAGGGAGAGTTGAATCAAAGGAATCAGTAGTGTAAAACTGACAACATGCTTACAAATTCAACTCCAGTTGTGCTGATGTAGCTATCCAAGTATGAATCATCCTGTTCAACGATTCCGAAGCACAGAAAAAAATTGCATGAGAAAATTGAGATCATATGCAATTGTATGTCAAATAACCTGAAATATAACATATATCCAATATTAAGTGCATACACGTACAAACTAATCTTTATATATACTTTAAAATAATACAAATCAAGGGAATCTAAAACATTGGAAACATTATCATACAATTAAATAATCACGATGCAGAAAATTTTATTTGCATTATTTTCAGATAACTTTTCACCCCACAACACTAAGACAGAAAGCATACCCAAACCAATAGTGGCGTTCCAACCACTGCGATTTCACAAACTTCTCAATGGAGGAAGAAAAACACAAAATACACTACTTGATCACTTGTGGTTGAGCTTTTATCGCTCAACCTGTCTTTATCTTTGTGTAGCTCTCTGACTGAAACATTATTCATATAAAATTTCATTACAGTATAAAGTATACTTATATATATATATATATATATATATATAACATAATAACCTTCTAAAAGCAATATCTTTTAAAAAACATTCCATCAATTGAACATTACCTCCCTGACACACCCCGTCCCGAAGGAGGGCGTGTTGGCCGTCACGTGAGAGTGACGTAACCATTTACACAGTTCGGAAGCTCTTAAAATACAATTACTAAATGGAAACCCTCGAGGGTGAGTCCTACTTTTGTGAATTCTGTCATAACGTCGTTGGGTTCCTCGTGGCCACCAAAGCTCTGCTAACTTAAACTTGGAGGGGCGAAAAACAAAATTGAGTGGGTCAGTAAAACAAAGTTTTTCAAAAATCTTTCGCCAAAAACAATTCTAACCCCTCACCGTAAAACCTGTATACTTTCCCAGAAAAATAGTATATAAACATATATATATACGCAACATCAAGACTCGGCTCATGTCCATCATCATAACATCTCAGAAATGATATGCCATGCCCAAATATAATCAGAATGCATCAATGACAATAAGGTGAAATAATAAATCAACCAGAGACTCTACAATGGTCATGTACGGCTGATTCTAAGGCTCAACATCCAATCTAACCGGAGTCACCTCGGTGACCTGTACGGTTCAACTCTGCACGTCACTCGGAACTACATATAGTAGTCTGTACGATGACAGGTGTATGAATACGCTCTAATGCTTCTCTCATCAATCATTGACGCGCATAACTAAGGTCACCTACTAGTTGGAATCACATCTAGTGATCTGTACAACTAGCATGTCGGAACCCTCACATGGTCTGTACGACATCCACCTACTTGGATCCAAGACGAGCGTGCGGTGTGGTGAATAACAATATAAGCACTATCACCTAGGTGCAGGTTATGAACTTTCAATGCAATTCATATAAATAACTCAGCTGAATAATAAATAAACTCACATGAGCGTCCACCGCGTCAATTCACATATATATGCATCAATAATCAAACTAAATATCTCAATAATTTTATGCATGGCAAATAAATTCATAACTTTCATAAAAACGTATTTTCTGGGAAAAATAACTGTATATAGGTAATACGAAATCAAAATTGCCCACTCACCTGGAGTTCGTCCAACAACTCCCTAGCACCACACATCAAGGCGTCATGACGATCGCCGCCTAGAACAGTAATCAAATCCAACCTCAGAATTCATATCGAGAGAATATATAACTTGTATAAAATACGTCACTACGTAGTTCGATCCGGGAGATCTGCAATTCCGATTTTAAATCCATAACTTCCAGAGGTCCACAATATACCTCTAGGACAACATCCTAAAATTTCATTACCATCCAACGGTCGGATCTCCGTCAATTTCCAAAACCAAGTGACGGTTAACATTCTATATTATGGACTTACAACTCCAATTCCGGAAGATCCGCAAATCGGATTCCCAATCCGTAAATTCCTATAATCCTCAAATATTACGTATTACAACGCATCAAAGTTTGGTGACAATCCAACGGTCGGATCGTCAATTCACCTTTTCACCTAAATGCGAAACTATAAAACGTTATTTAAAGCACCTAACCAACAATCCTTAATAACTTCTCATATGGTGCTCAATTTGGGTATATGAATATACCACATTGACCTACTCGACGTCACGGACGTCGACAAATTTTTAAAATAATTTTTTGATGTGGCACGCGCCCCCACGCGCTATGGAAAGCACGGGTCCACGTGCGCCCACGCGCACCTTCTTCCTCGCGAGCTTGCCGAACTGGTTTTTCCGGTGGCCGGAAAATTGGGGAATTTTCAAATGCTTCGTTCTCCTTCGTTTCTCAACCATTTTCTTCGTATAATATATCAATTTGAAGCCCTTAACATGTAGAATCACAATAGACTAGTTTCAAGGTCCAAAATCCACTAGATTTTACCTGAGGAAGCACGATAATCCGACGTCCAATTTTGAAAAACTCCTATCTCGATCCTCCGACGTCCAAATTCTACCAACAAAGTACTACTAGACTCGTGTGGACTCCCTTAAGCTTCCTACAAGCTTGAAATTTCCAAAAACACAAGTTTTAACGTTTGCATGAATAGTACCCCCAAATCGGGTTTACTGTTTCAACGTGAATACGAAGCTATCCTTACCTGAAAATGGTATGGTTGAGTTCGTGGAGTCCTCACAAGCACGATGGTGCCTTCAAAACCCTCGATCCATGAAGTTTCAGGGTTATATGGTGGTGGTCCGTACATTCGAGAGTGAGGGAGAGAAAGGAAGAATTGAGAAGGAGAGAAAGATAGAGGGCACGTGGAAAGTGACAGGGTGTCCCGTGTGTGTGTGGTCCCTCAAAACCATTCCATCCCTATTTCCTAACGACATAAAAATACATACCAAATTTTAAATCAACCTTTAATCCAATTTAATTAATTTTCCAAAAACTTAGGAACCATGAAATGTTCAAACATATCACACACACGTACCTTAATACTCGCTAAGGGTAAATCCGTCATTTCACATTCCCGTCAAATGTATCTCCGGGACGGGCTGTGACATCCTGTCTAAGAAAACTGATGACAATCGCAAGCTAAACTATGAAATACCAAATTAAATACAGAATAATCACAACCCCAAACCAAACAAAACCCCAATCAATTAAAAAAAACAATCAGAGTTGGAAAATCCTTTATGCAGAAACGTGAAAAAGAACAAATCAGAGATGCACTTACACCACAATTCATGATCATTATCCAAAATTTGCAGAGCAAACATACAATCAAACAGATACCTCTCTATTTTTCATCTCTCTCTCCCTGTTATTTGTATTGTGATAAGGTTTATGATAAACAATGATTTTACCAAAATTTAATAATAAAAAACATCACAGTAGAAGTTTAACATGAGAGAAAGAGTCAATCTCTACCTTTGATGTGTTGATCCTACCATCCCCTTGCATGCTTGATCTCTACATAAAAATAGAGTTTGGTTGGTGAGAAAATGCAGAGAAAACGAACAAAATTTAATGTAATTCATAATTTACCAGTATTAATAGAACCAATAACTTAATAACAGTTTTACATCATTAATTAGTAGAAAACAATACATAAATACAACCCAACAAAATAAACATACTGCATTCATTGCTGAAGCAGGGAGCCAACCTCCATGCTGCTATTGTGCAAAATCCAGCAGAGGAATCACTGCAGACTGTTTGTAGTTGGATGGATAATGGGATAGTATCTCTTTCACCTAAAACTTAAAAAAATGACACTTTTTAGAACTCAAAAAACATAAAAATAATTTTGCAAGTGGCAAATAATGGATATAATCAATGCTCGTGGTTTGATAGCTCAATTCAAGAACTTATATAACATCATCATCATATGAATTAGTAGGATCACTTTCTAAAATTCAATAAATAACTTGGGGAAATTTAAACCTTATAGGACAATCCAATTCTAGTAACTCAACTTAGCAACGTGGTTGGAACGTTCAGCACCCCTTACACTCTAGTTATGTATAAATTCAAAATTGAGCATGTTTGAATTAAGGGTGCTAAGAAAATCCTAAACCTTTTATACACATCTTTGCTTAAATATCGAGGCTTGTAATGTTTGACATAAATAGTTCAGCCTAAAGCACACATTGACAACCAAATTACACAATCTTTCTCCTTTTTTCATCTTTTCACAACGACATGTCTTTCGCCAAAGTTACTGCATTGCATTGCCATTGAATAATATCCTACAAACTAATTAGGCAAATGGGTCGCTGAAATTCACTACAAAAATGCTCCGCAAAATTATTAATTCCAACAAAATTGATAGAACCGAGTGGAAGTTTGTAAGACCCATTTGCAGGAAGGAAATGGGTGCTTTGTAGAAATTGAAAAGATGGAAAATCGATAGTTCATGATTTTGGTAGTCCAGATTAGATTAGCTTTAGACTCTACCAGTTTATTGCATGCCTGCCTTTTATCCATAATTCATGTCCTAATTTATCTGTTTAGGTTTTAGTTCTTGCCTTTGGGAAAACCCAAAATCTCTACCTCAAACGCCCATCTGCAACCACACTCCTTACACCCCCCCCCCCCGTCTCTTTCCCCAACCCCTGCTTCACTAAATGACACACCCATAACTCTCTCCCCACAGCCAAGGAGCAACCAAATTCAACTCCAATATAATAAAACTTAACAAAATACCCATTTTCACTCACTCCAATCCTCTAAGAACCCATAATTTTTTTCAATCAGAAAAAGTAAAAATTAAGCATTGACTTAAATCCTGATAAAATGAGTAAGTAATCAGCAACACTTGGTTCAAAATTTTACAAATTCACCAACAATACACTTCAACACATCCCCAAACAGCTCAGAAATAGTGAAATTTGATTCGATTCAATTCAATTCAACTCGATTCGATTCAATTCAATTAATTTCAATTCAATTAGTTCAATTCAACAATTATAATCATTAATATTATATTGGAACTAAATTGATTGATAAGACACCTTTAAAATCATAAATCTGATAAGCAATCTCACAATTAACGCAGATTATGTTCATATCAAAATCCATACAGAGATACAAATTTGGAAATAGAGTGTAAATTCCATCAAACACGAAGATAGAGAGAGAGATAGAGACTACCTGCTATTGCTTGGCAACCTGATCTCTTAGCTTCTTGATTGCCTCCATTGCAGCTCAGCTGTAGGTAGTCTCGATTTTTCAAAGTTGTGCTTCAAGCCTTAATCTAGACTCTAGAGGCTGAGTGAGTTTATAAAAAATAATAATTTAATAAGAAATTAACATTGAAAATAAATCAAGAACCCAAAAAAAAATGAAAATTTCATACCTCTAAGTTTATGGGTTTAACTGTGGAATCCAATTGAGAACCACTAAAAAAAGGGAAAACTGACCATAACACGTTAGACAATGCAAGCAAAAAAGGGATTTCAGTGGAATTGAAAAGGCAGAAATTAACAACCAAACCCATTTAATCATACAACCAAAACCCAATACCCATTTAATCATACACCAATGAAAAATCTAAACACAGAGTCACAAATTAACGAACTGAAAACCCACAAAAAGAACCAAAAAAGAAAAAAGAAAAAGGAAATTGACCTTAAAACAAAGAACAAAACACAAAACAGAGAGATGCATCCCCAACAGTATAGAATCGAATTAAAAATTGAACTTAGCTCAAAAACACTTACCCTTCAACGTTTGGAGCCTCAGAAAAATTTATGAAGTTCACGCAAATATTTTTAGGTCTCAATGCACCTATCTTGCAAACCAACAAAAATGAAAATGCATTAACACAAATGCCAAAACCGATTTCTAAGATTTTAGTATTCTCTTTACCCTTGCAACCGAAAAAAAAAAAACGCAGAAAAATGAGCAAGAAGCTTAAGCAAAAAAAAAATCATATTTTCAACCACCAAAACCCAATACCCATTTAACCTGAGATTTCAGTGTTCTCTTTACCCTTGCAACTCAAAACAAAAAATCCCAGGAAAATGAGCAAGAAGCATAAGCAGGAAAAAAAAACATATTTTCAACCACCAAAACCTAATACCCATTTAATCATACACGAACGAAAATCTAAACACAGAGTCATAGATCAACGAACTGAAAACCCACCAAAAAAAAACCAAAAAAAAAAAAAAAAAAACTGACCTTAAAACAAAGAACAATACACATAACAGATAGATGCATCCCCAAAATGAGAGAAAATAACAGAAAACGAAATAAATAAGGGAACCCCCAAAACCTGACCCAACAGTGCAACAAATCCAGAAATAATTCACAGTAAAAAGGCTGAAATGATGACAGTCTATACTAACAGTAAAGAATCCAATAACAAAAGGAACTTAGCTTTCTAAATCCAGCCACTCATCCGACACGCAAAAAGGAACAGACGATCTAGAGTGATTCATGGACTGAGGGGCCTTACTCGGCTCTGTTTACCATCCCAACCCCTCCCTCTCTGTTTCTCTCCCTATTATCCGGACAACCACTCTCTCTTTTTCTCTTTCTCTCGCGCGCTACTCGCTTAACTTCGGAATTCCAACGGAACTGAAGCCAGTGAGCTCCCAAAAGCCCTCATGCTAGCTAGGGATGAGAATATACATATAAGGATCAATCCCCTGAGCGATGTGGGATCTTACAGCCTAGCCTTCACGTGATCGTTCACCTCCCGCACCACACGCTTACCTTGGATCCAAGGCAGGTGCCAGCCTGTCGTACAGACTACATTAGGTGGTTCTGACTCGTAGGTGACTTGCGATACTTCGCACAACCTTCACGTGATCGTAGCACTTGAGCGTATCTATTTACATCTAGCCTGTCGTACAGACCACATTAGTTGGTTCTGACTCGTGTGCATGAATTGGTTATGAGCTATAGGTTCAGCCGTACAGGTCGCATTAGGTGACTCCGACTGACATTTCATATTATATGATTCACATCACCTGGCTTACATATTTATTACTGAAATACTTGACATGGCACTCACTTTGGTTTTCATTACTCTCAAGCCTGATTTCTATATACTTATGTATTATTATTTTCTGGAAAATTATACGGGTTTTACGGTGAGGGATTATTATTTTTGAAAAGAGAAATAGTTTCAAAAAGCTTTGTTTTTGCCCACTCACGTTTTTTGTTTTCGCCCCTCTAGGTTTTAGCTGCTGAAGTTCGTATCGACGAGGATTCTTGGCGAATCTCAGTATAGGTGGCTACCTCTGAGGGTATGATCATTACCCACACTACTGTACTTTACTTATACTTTGACGTCACGTGTGAAATGAATCCATTCCTGCTCACATCTCACTCTTGTATTTAGCTACTTTTAGGTTTAAATTTATTCACATTTTTCACATCACTACATTTTATGGCTTCGTCACCTTCCAGGTGTCGGCCAACACAACTCGATTCGGAGTCCTAGTGGACATACCGGGTCGGGGTGTGTCACCTACACTATAAAATTTAATTTACCTATTGTTTAATTTTTATAAAATAATGTATCTACTATACAAAATAATGTACCTACAATATAATTTGCCTAATGATTAATTTTTATTAATATAGGTAAATTAATATATATATATATATATATATATATATTTGTGTTTATAGTATTTATGATACAAGAAAGGTATATTTTCATATGGGTTTAATTGGTGATCATAATTAGGGTGAGTAATTATATTCATTGACAAGATTAGAGCTTTGTGACATAAGTTGTAAATATGTTGGAATAATTGGCTACATATTTGTCTACATGGTAGTCTATTCGAAATTTGGGTGTTATTTGAATATTTAATATTAGATAGGATTTTGTTTGGAAAATAAAAGTTTCAAAGGTCTATCTCTAAAAAACCCTAGAAATTATTATATTACTTTAGTCTAAAGTAGGAGGGAAATTGGCACTATTCATGTGAATAGTGTTTTGGACCACATTTCAGTTTATTTACAATATTGCCACTCGAATGCTTTTACCCATCTTTCTCTTTATTTACAAAAAAAACCCCTCAGGCTTCAAGCCCGATTTGTAGCCTTTGGGCTGCATCTCAGGTTTGACTCGGGGAGAAAGAGGGGATGGGGACATAAGGGCTGACAAATTGGAGAGAGGAGACAGCTGGTTGTGGCTGTGGCTGTGGCTGTGGCTGTGGCTGTGGCGAGAGGAGAGGAGGGGCACAGAGGGACGGACAGATTGGAGAGAGATGGGAGCTACGGGTGATCTTGATGCCGCGTGTTGATAATCGTGGAAAGGTCGGGGTGCGATGGTCGCTTTAGTCTGTAGGGTTTCGAACGGATTGGGTGGGTTAGGGAGACTTTCATTTCCTTTCTTTCTGTGATCTGCAGAGGGACTCGGTGAGACCATGCCGTCAGGAGAGAGAGCAGGAGGGAGAGAGAGGGATTTGGTGAGGGGAAGGCATGCGGCTTGCAGAGATGAGGATGAGAAAGGGGGAGGGACAAAGGAAGAGAGAGAGATAGGGATTGGGTGAGGGGAAGGCATACGGCTTGCAGGTAGACAGAGTCACAGGGGTGTACGATTCAAGGGAGAGAGAGAGAGAGAGAGAGAGAGGAGATTGAGTGGTGGCATCACTCTTACTACCTGCACTCCTGAGGCCGGCTACCAGAGAGAAGGACACATGAGAGGAGAGAAAGAAAGAAAGAGAGAGCGCGCAGAGGCAGGAAGGCCTGAGATTGAGGACAAAGGCCATGGTTGCACAGAATGACTGAGATTTGAAGCCCATGACAGCCTCAGCTGATTGAAAAGGTGAGGAGTCGTTTTCAAATCTTTTGTGCTTTAGGATTAGGTTTACAAACTCTATTCATATCATGCAGCTTCAGATTCGAAATTGTGATTTTGGTCAGCAAACCCAGCTCCAATCATCTACAAATCAAACCTCACGAAGTAAAGCACTCCGATTCCGATTCATATCATGCTTCTGATGGATCTGGTTGTGGTCTCTGTGTATTTGCGCATCCATATAACTCTGATTTGTCCAACATGCTCATGGATTTTTTTGTATGATTTTGCAGGGCAAATTACTATATTGCCTATTTTCCTTTCAAATCCAACGGGTCGAGGCAGGCTAGAGCTGGTATAGATTACAAATATTAGTTTTGCATAGCACTGTAATTTTGATTGGTGAGATCGGCCTCATTAAAAAAAAAAAAAAAAAAAAAGAACAGCCATCTTTCAATTCAATAGTAAAGGCCTTCATTCAAATATGAGTTTTGCATAGCACTATAAACATTATATGTAGTTACAGAATTGCTGTTTTGATTGGTAGCTCTATTGATTTTTGTTTAGTTGATTTGAATTTATACCGAATTTACTTAATTTTTAGTACAATTATTTGCTTTCTGGTTTTTAATTTAAAGACTAGGAGTTTGAATGGTGTAGTGGAGGTTGATGTTGTTTCCCACATTTTTGTTATGAATTCTCAATGTTTGATGAATTCGGGAAATCAATTTTGTTATCTCTTATGCAGTTATGATCGTATGAGTTGGAATTTAGATTTCACACACATGTAAACTGAAAAAATAAAATAGATTTCGTAATTCGAAGTTAGCCGACCCCACATGATGGGAAAAGGCTTAAGAAGAAGAAGTTAGCTCTAAACTATAGAAGCATGGAAGTTTATGTGGACCTTAGATTGTTTTGAAAAATAATTGATTGATTCAAGAAAGCAAAGACCTTGGAACCTTAACTGTCTCATTGTAATCCATCACCAAGTTCTGGTAATTTATGTTCTATTTTTTCAGTCATCTGAAACTGAATTGCATTTGGGTGTTTGTCTTTGATGCTATTTTTTGGATGTAGGTAACTAGATTCTTATTCTCTGGGAATTGTATTCGTTTGTTCAATCTCAGTATTTTACCAATATTCTCACGATGTCCTTTGTTTTTAATCTATAATTTATTTTGTCCAATTCATGAAAAAGTTGATGAAAAAGTTGCAGTTTCGGAAATGACTGTCAGCAATCAAGATGTGAAAAAGAAGGTTCCTTTTTCTTATTTTTGTTTCCAAGTTCTTCTTCTGGTCTATTTTGTGGATAAAAAAAAAGGATCTTTCGGCAAACAGAATGGTGTTTTTTTTATCAGATTTTGTTAATTAATTGGATTTTGTGTTTACCCTTTCATTTCAGTCTTTTATTCATAAAATCTTCACCTCAAAGGAGAAAGAAGGAAGCGGCTCTTTGGATTTCTCAGGTGAGTCTCTAATGGTTGACTGCAACTGAATATCCTTCTTCCTTTCTTCTTTGTTTGAAACAGTGATAACTCAGTCAACTATGAGTAGATGTATAGTGGCCTGCTTCAGTGCTCACTTGGTAAAGTTTTTTGGTCACATAAAGGTGCTAGAGTTGGGAACTTTTTGGATCTTAAATCATTGGTTGCCTAACATTCTCTATATTGAAAGGCATCATTTTTGTTACCACATTTTATATATTTTAGACAATGAATATGAGTGCAGTGGACTCTGAGTCAGTGAACAGGGAGTTACTAATTTTGTTATATGAGATTTGGTTAAATGTCTAATACACATGGTTGCTGAGGTTTGTTTACATTGGTGGTAAATTCTTGCTTTCTTTTCAATTTTGTTTTATTGTAATTCGTCTTGGTTTATGGATCTTGCATTGCTGACGTGAAATGGTTATATTTCAATGTTTGTGAGATGTCGAATTGTGTGTTTGTGGCTTAGTGAGAGTTAGATTTAGATTGTGTAGAAAATGTGGGCTTCGGAGTGTAACCCAATTAGCAATTTGGAGTGATTGAGGAGAAGTATTCTGAGCTGCAGTAGGACTTGGTGAGACCATGCCGTCAGGAGAGAGAGCGAGCGAGCAGAGAGAGAAGAGGGAGGGAGGGAGAGAGATAGGGATTTGGTGAGAGGAAGAGAAAGGAGGGATGTGACTTTTGACTCGGGGAGAGATAACTGTGCCTGTTGCTTCGGTCAGAGCATTGTTGGGGGAGGAGGACAGAGGGACTGACAGATTGGAGAGAGATGGGAGCTAGGGGTTTTGACTCGGTGAGATTGTGAGGGAGAGGGGGATGGCAGAGACAGATGAGAGGGAGCTGGGCGTGGGAATTGCAGAGAGAGAAAGAGAACTCAGAAGATATTTGTTTTGTTGAGAGCTGACAAGAAAAGGGGAGAAACAACGGCAAAGTGACAGAATTTGAGAATCTGAAGAAAAAAATGATTAGTGGGGTTTTAGCTTGTGGCACTTTCTTCCCTGCTTTCTAAACACATTTTTCTCAACACACCCCTTCAAGCTCTGGAAGTGTTTGCTCAAATTGGAGCTCAAAAGCGTCAAATTTTATGGAACAAATGGTCTCAAAGAAGCAGATTACACTGCGCAGTAGCAGCGCAGGACGCGGTGGGCCTGGGTTTGGTATTGTTCATACCTCTGTTTCTTCAATTTTTTTAATTTCTTTTATATGCAATTTCTGTGCATGCTGCTGAAATGAATATGGTGGTGGAAACTGTTGTTTTATATGAATTGGGTTTTTCACTACATTAATAAAGATCAAATCTTTGTGGTTCTTTGTTGTTTATCTCAACCTTGCTTTGCCCACAGCCGCTTGAAGATGACGTGTTCCTGATAGTCGGTCACTTCCGTGACAGTTCCGAACGAAGGATTCGGCTCCCAAGCTCCGATGATTGTGTCTGGCAAAGAGAATTCAGGAAGAGTGGAAGATCCAAGAAGGATTTGCCAGGCGAGTTCTTTTGTTTTTTATTTTGAATTTCCTTTTAAATAACTGTTTTGAATTAATGGTAGTGAAGTTTTCTCATACTTAGCCTATTCATTTTTATCAAATATTTTGCACTGACTATTTCATGATGCTGACTGATGTAATTAATTTGGTTTTGTACTGAAAGTTGGAGTTGAGAATATATGGAATATAGTTGTTGGATTGGTGTTTGTACTATAGAAACTTAGGTGTGCTCACCCCCTTTTCATGGACATCCATAGCTTATGAGACGCTGTTCAAGTCGGACCACTGGTGAATGCCTAAACTGTTGTGCTTAAATAGATTCATCAACTCAATATTGTCGTTAATTTTTGTTTTGAGTCCATTTTCCCTGCTGCTGTTCTATTAGGATTATAAGCTCAGTCGTTCAGGCATGACACATTTTCAGTGGGAAGTCATAAGCATAATTCATTTTTTTTTAGATTAGACTCAAGATTTTTATTTGCATTATTCTTCCGTTTTACAAATATAATTGGCTGCCTTAATGATTGTTGATGAATCATCACGAAAGTCCATTTCTCTTTTAATCATTGACTATTTTTTTTCTTCTTCATTGGCAGTCGAGGCAAAAGGTTCTTGCGATTTCAATCAAATGCAAACTGTGCAAGTATATATGTTGTATGCACACATGCATATAAACTAATATAATATATATACATGATTTCATGTGTTAAAGAGTGTACTTGTTCTTAAATAAAGGTTCTGCTGACAAATGTGTTTAACAATATGATCTTACAACTCATCTTTAAACTTTGTATAACTGAAATATTATTCATCAATTGTAACTTCCCCTGTTGCTATTTGCTAATGACACAAGCTATGAAGATTGTACTCATTCTGTTCGTAGATGCAAGGCTAGAAATTAGGTTTGTATGGGGTTAAATCAATTGATGCTATAGTATTTGTTAAAATTGTAAGATTTGGTGGTTTGGTAAATTGATTATAGTAATGTTGTTTGTGGTTTGGGTTCTCCTTTTGTTTTGGATAGATGATGCTTGATTGTGGTTTAAGTTTTTATTATTATTATATTCCCTGCACATTGCAAAATTCTGGTACTATTTGAGGATTTTGGTGTTGAAAGTCTAGGGTTTAGTGGAATGAAAAGAAGGGATGTATGCGTTTCGGAAATGTGTTTTTAAGGTACCTTTAACTCCTAACTGCCATTTAGCATTCAATATATACTCTATTGCTGGCTGGGGTTTACCCTTTTGAGCATTTTATTACGTTTCTTCTTGCTCTCTGACTGAAAATTTTAAATGCTATAGGTGAATGCAAACAGTGCAAAACGCGGTCTGAAAAATGGACGAAAGCGAGCATTTCGACTTGCTGCTGCAATACACAGGTGTGTTGAAAACTTTCCCAAATCCTTTGTGCTTACACAATTATACATGTGTGTATGTACAGCTTTATACATGCATCTGTGGAAATACATACGTTAGAGCCTGGTTTTTGTTTTAGATTTATATGCTAGTTGTTAGGTTCTAGCTATGTGAAGTTTATGTCTTTAATTTATTTTTTTATGGAAGTAGCTCATGTTTGCTTACCCGGCGGTGGTTATTCTGATTTAGTGGTTAAAAATGGAAATTTCACTCGCAGTAAGGGATTAATTGAGGTTCATGCATGCATCCGTGGTGTAAATTTGAGAGATGGAATAATATATGTGTGTAAAGTCCCTTCTTTTGGTTTTTTATTGCACTGTTTAGGTGGTGAATTGCACGGAAAATGGGGGAAGAGAGGGGTACAATTGATTTAATTTGAGCAAAACAATGGCATTTAAGCTTAGTTAGTTAGTGATTATTAGAGTCAATAAGGCGCCATTTGTCTTTAACTGAAATATGAATTTATTGAATGATGAATGAGGTTGTAGTGTGAGAGAAATTGAGAAAGTAAAGAAAAGATGGAAGATGAAGCTACAAATATGTGACAAACAATAATGATAGATCAATTCATCTATGTTGGTTTATTAAACTTGGTCAAGCAAGCGTTTTGTTTTAATTGGGATATAGTTTGGTACTTTCATACTAATTTCCATAGTTTATAATAGTTAACCAACCAAAGGTGCTTTCTTTTCATTATTTTCCAATATATTTTAGCCAGCTGACAATCTTAAAAGATTTACTTAGACGCAAAACAAATCCGTGTATTATACACATACCTGAGATTTATGGGGCCATATTTGCGCCTTCTTCCGGCATCGTTTATTGGTAAGTTGTAAAACCTTTGTAGATCTCATGTTCATTTCAGATTTTTGTATCAATTTTTGTATCATAATGGAATTGCAAATCAAGTATATCTTGGATTCTTACTTGCATACTCACTTTTCCACAACTATTATATTGTCTCTTGACTGGATGAATTTTCATAATTTCCTGGATCTACGGTTACAATGCTTTTTATAATTTCCTAGCTCTATCCTTTTTGTTTGTGCATGATTATGTTGATTTTTTTTAAGGTTAAATGTGTCTTATTCATGTAGTTAAGGTTTGTGCATTCAAGTTCCGCAGCAATGCGCGGGCATTTTTTCTAGTATTAGCTAATGCAGATTGGATGAAACTCTGGAAGTTGACTATATATTAGTATGCGTTCAAATTCTGGATATCAAAATATAATTGTCTCCAGTAATACTAAATTTCGTTATCGTTATGGTGTATAGATCAAGTGGATTAATTATAGCTACGTGGGGTGCTTCAGAGTGTACGGCATGTGGATAACTTTTCAGTGGTCGAATAGTGTTCTTCAAAATGTTTTGATTAATTTTCTTGAAGTTCAGTTGCTAGCTAGTATATGTATATTTTTTTAAGGGATGATAGTGTTCTCATTCCCTTAATCTTATTAAAATAAAAACAGAAATACAAACAAGGGTGTGGATCCAAATTTCTGCCTTTTTTTTCTTGGACGAAAATGCACCTGCAAAACAATTAACACTTTAGGTTAAGGTCAAGAGCGTCACGCGCCCATGATGAATGGGGGACCTTTGGCCGAAGAACTTCCGATGTCAAAGTTAGAATTTGAGGGAGAAAGTATTTGGAGAAATCTGGAGAATTTCAAAAGAGAATTAGATTCAGGTTGTTTGAGAAAATGAGGGGCTATATATGGAGGTGTGGCCGACCCTATTAGGAAATTTGGGACCGGTCACATATGGTTGATGTGTGGGATTGATTGCAAGATATTATGTGAGATAATATCTTACAATTAATTTGGTAATTAATCAATTAATCCCAATTTGAAAAGAATAATTGGGAGTTATCTTGTGGGTGAGAATTTGATGAGGAGTGATGAGAGAGTTTTAAAAGAATACCATTTTGATCACCTTTGACCTTGATTGAGTTATTGTTTGTTACATGTGTGGGAATCTTGATGTGTTTTAAGGGTAATTTTGTCTTTTTAACTCAAAAGTCTATGTGTCGCCTTTATATTTTTCTTGATTATTTTTTGTTCCAAGGCAATACAAAGCCAAACCTCCTTGAGGAAAAAAAAGGTAAAACCAAAAATCAACCCCACATACAAAGAAAACATATAATGAAATCATTTGAAACGATGGTTGGTAAAAGCAGAAAGAGCAAAAGTTTCACATGAAAGAACGTTCACCATCAGTAATGTGCATCATGATTTGCACGAAAGTTAGTTAAGGCATCAGCCATACATGCAGTTGCTAGCTAGTACAGTAGTAGCTATACCACTCAACTTTTATTTTATGTTTTTATTAATTATTAGGTGTACCAACAGTTATATGAATTTGAAACATTTGTCAACTTTAAGACAAAGTATTTGAAGTTAATGAAGAATTTGGTATAAAACCGAGTACAGTGATGTTCTAAGATTTATACAGTTAATAAAATTTTATTGTTGTTTGTAGTAAGAAAAAGAGTATTATTAAATCAAGTGCTTGTTTAATAGTAAAAATATTAGAGACTACTGAAAAAACAAAAGGAGTATATACACTTGTCTTGTCACTGTCATATTCACTTATCTTGTCACTGTCGTATTCTTGTCGAGTTCATGTGCGATATTAATTTATAAGTACTACATTGTTGTAACTAATTTCACCATAGTGGAAAACCTAACCTACTCAGTTCACTCTTGTTGGGCTTTTTGGCTCAAAATTAAGATGATGTAATAAATTAGGTTTGTGTTACCTATTTGGTTTTGGTGTCCTATTTGGGTTTGGATTTTGACTTCTTAGTTGGTTTCCTTGATGGAGAGATTTTGTTAATTACCTATTTGATTAGGATTTTTGGGAGCAGCCTCTCCATAAATGGGGGTAAGGCTAGCCGACATTCACCTCTTCCAGACCCTGCGTAAAGCGGGAGCCTTGTGCACTGGGTACGACCTATTTGATTAGGATTTGGATTTACTTCCTATTAGGATTCTTATTGTAACCTAAGTCCTATGCACTATAAAAAGGACATTAGGGTTAATGTATTTTGTGTGGCTCATTCGTATGGCAATTTGGTGAGAGTCAATTTGTGAATTTGTGAGTTAGAGAGCAATTTGGGAGAATCTTCTCTGTTAGGTTTGGGTTATCTACTTGTTTGGTTTAGGGTTTCTAATTTGTGGGATTTGGGTTGTGAGAGTTCAAACACTCTTTTGTAATCTCCGTTTGTTTAGTGAAATTCCTCGCCGTGATTCGTCCGTGGAGTAGGCTTTATGTCGAACCACGTAAATCTCTTGTGTCAGTTTGAGATTGTTTGTTTTAGCTTTCACCTACGACATTGATATTTGGTACTTTGTTATAATTCGCTTCCTTTTGCCCATAAAAGTACAACAACTCTCTCTTCAGATCTGACTTTTCTTATAAATAATAAATAAAAAAGAAAACTAATAAAAAAAAAGCTTGAAAATTTTGAGTTTTAACGATAAAGACAAAATAAAGGATAAAATGAATAGTACTAGGATTAACTTGTTAATGTAAAAAATATGGTTTTTCGTTAAAATGAACGGGAACTTTTTGTTAAAAAAAAAAGAGAAGAAAGGTACGATCTCATGTAATTGGTACAGGGTAGGCATGCATGGACCTGTAATACAAGTCAAGAAAAATATTAAAGGGGATCCTATCCTCTATAAGAGCATGGTGCTGTTTCATTGGGTTTCTATCCCAAAAACTTAAAACTTCTATATTTCACACAATATTCTCTCCAAAATGCCGCCGGTAAGCCTTTTCATATATATATATATATATATATATATATGTATGTTCTACTACTCTTGCATCTTGTAGCAGTTGTATACATTTTTCTTTTAATCCAACTGAAACTAATTATTAAGGCGAGAAGGTTTTCTTAAATTAGCTGACATTAATTAAATGTATAAATTGATCATATTGTGTATACATCTTTTGTACAAATTGATGGTGCAGCAAATGAAGATCGTTGTGAAGGTGCCAATGCACTGTGACAAATGCAGAACCAAGGCCTTGAAGATTGCAGCTGCTGCACACGGTATGTGCCTTTTGATATTATCATGATTCAAATTTTCTTTCAACGATTTCATTGTTAATTATAGTTGGCATGGTTATTAAAGAGTATCATAATTAATGAAAGCAGGTGTTAGTAAAGTGTCGATAGACAAAGATCTTGTGGAGGTGATCGGGGATGATGTAGACCCGTTCTGCTTGATGAAGTCATTGAGGAAAAGGTTCGGCTGTTGCTGCGCCCTAGTCAAAGTTGAAGAAGTAAAGCCGCCACCTCGTCCACCTCGTCCACCTCCTCCACCTCCTCCAGCAAGCTGTGTTCAAAACTGTTGCACTTGCACTCCCCATTGTCGTTCAATGTACTGTGTTCAATACTGTTGCACTCCTCAGTTTCGTCCAATGTACTGTGAACTGGTTCATGAATATCCAGAACCACCAACTTGCTCCATAATGTAATTGCGTGTGACATGAATTAGTTGAACTTGATTATGATCATTTTCATTTTCTCTTTTCCCTTGTAGATGCATGGATCTAAAGTTCATAAGAAATATTTTTATATCAATTGCTTCCCTCTTTGAAATTTTGTTTGTGTTTCTGCTTGTGCCTTTTTCATGTGTTTCCTAACCCATATGGAATTGCTCAGGTACTACGAAACACTTTTGATCATAAGTGCTTCTATAAGAAACACTTTTATCACAAACATAACAAGTTTGTAATCCAAAGAGACCATCATTTATATGAGTTGCCTTTAATTATGTACCTGTACTGATCCATACTAATTTTCGACCAATAAATGGGTGAAAGTATGATTATATAGCAGCATGTGTGGATGCATGGTTAATCAGGGTGTCAACACACTTAAACTATCTCTATTTCTTGATTTCAGCATGTGTGGATCCATACAAAAACTTATTACTTGCCACATCAGATAGTGAATCATTGTAGTCTAAAACTGTATAGGTGGTCTAGTGGTTGGAGATGAATTATAGACACGTATTCTATACGGCATATGTCCTAGGTTGGATTCCTGGAGTTGGGTGAATCATAAGATGGTGGCCAGGAGAGGCTAAAATGCTTATGTAACTCTTCTCGGCCCTCGAAAGAGTAAAATGTTGTGACAAAACCACCGGCTGGTCATCTTTTAAAAAGCGAAAGGAGGAATGCAGAGCACAGCTACACAGTCAATGGGTTTAGAATTCCAGCGAGGAAGACGAGAGGAAGAAGAAGAAGAGAGAAAACAAAGTATTTGACAAAAAAAAAAAGTATGATATGAATTTGTAGTGCATTCAAAGATGATATGAATTTGTAGTGCATTTAAAGAAGAATAAAGGTGCCAAATATATGTTTATAAATCATTTAATCTTTGAAAACAAAGTTGTAAACACGAAAATTCCTGAAACGAAAGAGACAAGAACACGTGTACAAAATAATATTTGTACTTGATGATTTTGGGTTACAATATCTCTCTAATTTGATCCTCTGATTCGATCTCCGTAAGGTGTTGATTTGTGGATGTGCGATTGATCCAAAGGGTCGTTGGGCTTGATCTAAGGATGAACGTTCTTCAAGGGCCGTGGGCTTGATCTTGAAGGTGGATTTGAGCGGATCTTCAAGGAGCCGTTGGGGCTTGATCTTGAGGATGAGCGTTTCTTCAAGGGCCGTTGAGGCTTGATCTTGAATAACGGTGATGAACGGATCTTCAAGGGCTTTTGGGCTTGATCTTGAAGAACAATGATTGACGGATCTTCTAGGGCTTTTGGGCTTGATTTGAATAACGGTAATGAACAGACCTTCAAGGGCTTTTGGGCTTGATCTTGAAGAATGATTGTGCGGATTTGTTGATGTTGTTTATCCAAAGGGCCATTGGGGCTTGATCTTAGGATGAACGGATGATGAACGATGAATACTTTCTTCAAGGGCCGTCGGGGCTTGATCTTGAATTCGTGGAAGTTCTTCAAGGGCCTTTGGGGCTTGATCTTGAATTAGTGGAAGTTCTTCAAAGGGTCGTCGGGGCTTGATCTTGAAGGTGGATGATTGTTGATCCAAGGGCCGTCGGGGCTTGATCTTGGAAGAACGAAGAACGAAGAACGAAGAGGGCTTTCTTGATTCTTCGGGAACCTGGATGCTTGAGAGCTTTGGAGTTTCAGAGCTTCAGAGCTTCAACGTTTTGGTGTAATATGAATTGGTTAGGAATTGGTTATGAATTGGTTCTCAATTTGTTCTGAATTTTTTCTAAAATGAATGAAATGACTTCTATTTATAGAAATTTTCAAAGCCTAATTTTGAATATATTATTCAGATGAAATAAATCGTTTTTGCCAGGTGTTGACATGTGTCCTGTTTGATGACTTTTCTGATGATTCTCGATTTTTCGTTGAGTCACCTGCTATGTGTAAAATTTATGTGACACGTGAACGTCGAAATTTTAATTATTGATCAACATTTATTTCACCGAAATTTCGATGTCTACAAAAGTATTTGACAAAAAAAAAAAAGGAAAGTATTTAATCAACAATTTAAAATAATTACATAAAAAAATGGAGGGTGGGAAACCAAGATGCATAAAAGGGAGGAATGCAGAGCATAACTACACAGTTAGTGGGTTTATAATTTGTGCAAATATAACTTACCTATTGCTTAATTTTTATAAAAAAAATAATGTATCTACTGTAAAAAATAATGTACCTACTGTAATGACCCGTTCCCAATTTTACGGTTTTTTTATAATTTTAATAAGTGAATTTACGAAAATGCCCTTTAAGGCAAATGCGTTGACTTTTGTTGATTGCCATGTCGTGCCACGTAAGACTTGTTTTCTTGGTGTATCCTCATAATACTCATCGCTATGAACGCGTAGGCGAAACAGAACGTAATTTGGAGTTATAACGAAGACTCTACGAACCTTTAAATAGTGAGGGTATTTTGGTAAATTGACAATTGAACATGTGAAATTGGTTGTGTGCCACATGGGACCCACAGATTGATCCCCATTTTTCTAGATTCTTCTTTTCCTCTTCTCCTTCTTTCTCCCGTTAGTCTCTTCTCAGTTCACATATCTCTCTCTCGCCTTCAACTTCCTCCCCGTGACACTTAAGCACCAATCCACCTTCCCGACGAATTAACGACTTGAAAATCACCATATTCTTACTCTCCTCAAACCTAGAAACCTGAATCAAACTTTGGTTTCTTGGAATACTGTGAACGGATGCCATTTCAAGAACCTTCATTGAAGCGGTGGGTTTCCCTTCAGTTTCAGACAATTTCCAACCATCTTTTGAACTCAAAACATATATAAATCGATTCCTCCCGTCGATTAGATGAATTTTCATGTTTGGATCGTTTAATTTAGTGAAGAAATTATAAAGTTACAATGATTTAAAGTTTGCCCAGTTTCCGGCTATCTCCACCACTTTCAAGGCATTTTATGGTCAAACCATGGCTAGTTATCCATCGTGAAAGGTACCAATCTCTTCATCTCGTTGAGAACTATGATTTCCATTTTTGAATTACTTGATTTTGTTGAGTATTGACAAAGTTATGGACGTTGAAATGTTGCCCAGAAATTTTGGCGAATATCTGTGTTTCCCACTGGCAGTCGTCTTTCAGGCCATTTTATGGCCATCTCCGGAGACCATATGGACTCCAAGCGATATAATTTTGCTCTACACTTCTCTAGCTTCGATTTGGTATATTATGAGTCGATTTTGGTTAAAAAACAAGTGAGATATGGAGTTCTAAAGATTGCCCTGGAAGTCTGCAAAATCTGCAGAATCCGGCGAAAATTCATTAAGGTATGCCACTTAAATAGTATAGCAATCGATGATCCAACCGTTGGATCGTTACTAAACTTTAATACATTATAGTACGTAATATTTGAGGACCATAGGAACTTACGGATCGGGAATTCGACGTACATATCTTTCCGAATTAGATTTGTAAGTTTGTAAAATAAAACATTAACCGCCACATGAATTTGCAATTGGCGGAGATCCAACCATTGGATCGTAATGAAATTTTAGTATGTTATTCTAGAAGCATAATGTGGATCTTTGGAAGTTACG